CTCCAGTCTGGGCGACAGAGTGAGACTCCGACTCAAAAAAAAAAAAAAAAGTAGCCAGCACAAAGAAAAATTTGTGTAATTTAAACACATTTTAGTAAATATGCAGATATGTTTTATTTGCCAAGAATAAATGTCAGTTTATTTAGAATACTCAAGTACAAAAAATAAAAAGTTATATACCTATCACTGTTAAGAAAATGTTAGAAACCATTAAAATGTTCTGAGAATACTAAGGCACTAAGTGCAAATATCCCTTGAAATATGAATTATCTGAATGTTTATATCTTTAATATTCAGATGATCAGTTATTTGCAAACTATCATTTTAAGAAGCATTTTATTAAAATCAGTTCATGTAATTGGCTTATTATTATTTTTAAAAGCAGGATTTATTTATTTATGTATTTATTGAGTTGGAGTCTCACTCTGTCGCCCAGACTGGAGTGCAGTGGCCGCTCCCGGCCACCGCAGCCTCGACCTGCTGGACTCCGGCGATCCTTCCGCTTCAGCCTTCCGAGTAGCCGGAATTACAGGCATGCACTACCACGCCCGGCTGATTTTTTGATTTATTGTAGAGATGAGGTCTCGCTGCCCAGGCGGGTCTCGAACCCGCGGGCTCAGGCAATCCACTCACCACAGCCTCCCACTCACCTCAGCCTCCCAAAGGCGCGGGATTACAGGCTGAGCCACCAAGCCCGGCTAAAACAGGATTTATTGAGAGGACAGAAAAGCTCCCACAGTGGGGAGAGGACCCAAGGGGATTGCCATCATTGAATTATTTTAAGATGAAGTATTTTATGAGTATTTTCAGACAAAATGTTTTACTTAGTCTGTGTCAGATTCTGAACAATCATGAAGTTGTATAAGCTGTAAATAAAGACTTCCATTTTATAGCAAAAAAAAAAAAAAAGAAAGCAGCTAGCACGACTCAAGTGCTTACTCTGAACGGCGAGCTCTCCCTGCAGTGCCTCACTGAATCCCTCAGCTATGAAGTAGAGACTTTATTAGTGGGCTTCACACATAAGGAACCAGCAGAGAGAGCTTGGGTAGCATGCCGAGGTCCTACAGCCAGTACTTAGCCTCTCCGCCAACCCAGGCTGTTAAGTACCCGAGCTCATTTACTTAAATACCATACCAGTTTGCATCCCACTGATAAAGCAGGCATCTGCTGATTTTGTTTATGCAGAAATGCAAAGATTTGTCTTCCCAATCTCTGCACCAAGAGTAGACTGTTGAGGAATCTAGGGTGCGTGTTTGGGGGGTATTCCACATGTCCCTGGGATATACAGAGCTTCACCCAACCCCTTTTGTGGGTGCCTTGTTCTTGTACTAGACATCTAAATGATCAAGTTGACCTCAAACGGGACAGTCCTACTCTTTTAATAAAGGCTTCTGTGTGTGAGGAGTCCTGACTTGGGTAGGCAGGGTGGTTTTTTTCTACAGAACTCCAGAGAGTTGCTGCTTTCTCTTCGGCTAATAATGTGTCTGGTCACTGTTATGATTATCATGCCTTCATCTTTTAGAAGCTAGAGTTTATACATTTAATTTACTTTTTCAATGTTTATAATTTCTCAATGTTTAAACTTTCATGTTACTGTTAAGTTAAAAAAAAAGTGGCTTCCTTCTTTTAAAAAAGTGCTTTTAAATTTGGGTTTCCTCTTGGGAGCTGAGTTTGACTCTCTAGCACCAAGGGGCTCACTCTTTGTAGTTATGTTTGAATGAGGTCAAAGGTGACTTCCTGGAACACACCATACATTCTAGGAGAATCTTGCTGGAGGACAAAAACTTGGAGTTATCTTTCTGCCTTTAGGGAAGCACTGAAGCAGCCTAGGTTTTTGTATCTCTCTTGGGCTTGTTTATTATCTACCAGTCTTTCCTAAGCATCGCAGAACAATTACTGTGGACGTGGGATTTTCCTTAATATAATTTTATTTGTTTTTAATAGAGGAAATGCATGCCGAAATCTGTTATGCCGAGTGTCTCCTACAGAAAGCAGCCCTCACGTTTGTGCAGGTAATGAATATTTGGCTTAGAATTAGTATTGGCTGGGAAGACTGCCAGCATGGCATAGAAAAATGTGGCTTCATTTTCAGTTCTTCTGACTTAGAGTGATAATGAAAAATATTTGCTCTTCTAGGCTTGGTGTGGTGGCTCACACCTATAATCCCAGTGCTTTGGGAGGTCAAGGTGGGAGGATTGCTTGAGACCAGGAGTTTGAGACCAGCCTGGGCAACATAGCGAGACCCTGTCTTTACTATATATATATATACATATATATATATATATATATATATACATATATATATATACACACACACACACACACACACATAATATATAAAAATATATATATTTATTCTGATAGATTGTATATGTTATCCTGATATATATATGACATAGATATGTTATTCTGATAGATTTTGGCTGAAAAAAGATGCGAGGGAGCTTTATTCCTACTCAAGTACGCTTAGAGTCTATTTTGAATTTCAGTCTGCTGATCTTTTTTAAAGAAACCACTTTGCAGCTGCCACACCTCATTTCTGGATACCTGTACATGAACGGTGATTCCTCTGCTCTTGCTGCTAGCTGAGGGCCACACGCAGAGTGGCCCAGGCACAGGAGGCATCTTTAATCCTCTGCCATCCGCTTCTTGCAGCATATGCTTCAGCCAAGTTCAGTTTGCATGCAGAGGCAGCCAGATTTCCATGCGCATTTCAGATTTGATGTTCCCCTTCTTTCTCTTCTCGTTCACCTTTCTTGCTTTCGTTTCTTCTTTGGAAGGGAGTTTCAAGAAGTCACTAAGCAAAACAACGAACCCTTTCCTTACGTGGCATTTTAATTTCACCTGTCGGAACTGTTCAAGTCAGTCCCTTGCCTATTTGTGTATCTGATGATACTTCTAAAAAAACCCAGATTTTCACATGGTGGCCTCGTGGGTGGAAGTGATGGCTACAGTGAGGGAGAGGTAGGGTGGAGATTGTAAGGGATCAGAAAGAAATTCAGCTGTAAAATGGAAACGCTTCCTCAGTCTCAATCTTTGAAATTATTTTGAGAGTTGCTTTTCCCTTTTGCTGGAGGTTGACCTCTTAGGTTGGGTTCTGGTTTTGTGAAATTGAATCAGCGTGGGTCCTGACCGTGTTTCCTAAAACCCCCCGCGTTACAAAGGCTGGTTGGTACCACAGAATGGCTGTCTCAGCCAGCATCATCCTGATAGGCACGCAGGCCCAGGTTTTTTCCTGATGTGTTTTCCAGATGGAGATTGGGCAACCACGCGTGGGACGTGAAGGCTTATTGTATATTGGGGAACTTGGAATCAGACATCCGGGAGATACCCTGATCTTTCCCCATCCTCACGCCCCTGTTCCCAGTCACCCAATCACGTTCATATTCATGCTTCCTTTGCCATTTAAATATTTTGCAGCTGTCTCTTCCTCTCTGTCCTACCTTTGTTCTAGTGGAGGTGCTCACCTGCTCTTCCCTAGACCCGAGAGCAGCCTAGTGACTCTCTGTCTCTGATTTCTTTGACCTCCAGCTTATTTTCTCTTCTGCAGTTGAGTACCCGCTAGTGAATGAGACGCTGCATCTGCTTCAGCATTTAGTAGCTCTCGCTGACTATGGCAGTATTCTGTATCAGAATATTACAAATGAGGGGGTACTTTTTCAGGTGAAGCCGGTGCCTCTCCTCAAATTTCCCACCTCTGCCCGCTTCTTACAGATGTCCTCAGATGCCACTGACGGGGGATGTTGCATACGTGAGTGGTACAGGTGGAGGGAGTGTCACCCTTCAGCGGTGCAGAGTTAATATGCTCACGACCCAGCCCACCGTATCCTTCACTGCCCTCGTCTCCTTCACTTTCCTTCGCCTGGCCGCCTTCTGATCACTTTTGTGCTTTAAGGGCAAAATGCCGGGAAGGCATTTGTGGCCCTCTGCATGCCCTCACTTGGTGGTCTCATGACATCCGATGCACGCCTCCGTCTCTGTGCGTGACTTGCTCTCTTAGCGCATTGCATTGCTTTCGTCTGTTTTTGCCTTTGGGTGCCCGGTACCAAATAGGCATTCAGTAAGTGTTTGATGAGCCATGAAATGAAATACTGTTTTTCGGGGCATATTTTAAGCTAATTTAAGGAATTCTTTTCTGGTTGGCATTGGATCTTATGTAATCATAAGATTCCCTAAAATAAGGAGATGAACATTTAAGTTGTATAGTTAATTTTGTATCTATTGATTGTTATAATAATTAGGGCATTAAATATCTAAATAATTAATGAAATTAGTTAACTAAATTCAGGTTTTCTCTTGCTTCAGAAGGATGCTTAAGTATACGAGAAATAAATGCCAGAGCATTTTTCTGACATCAATTGACTAGAAGAACATTCTCCTTGGAAATGAGAAACATGGAATTTCTCCATTAGCACCATCTATTAGAGTAACTTCCTTCAAGAGTTTATTTGATATAATTTATTGAGAGACTCTCTTAAAATCCTAGAATGCTGGCCCTGAAAATGCCATTCATCTAGGCCAACTGCCTCCATTTTATGGTTGATAATCATCAAAAAAGAAGTGAAGTGGTTTTTTCCGCCTCCCCCAAAAAACAAAATTGCATGTTAGTGACAGCCACTTTAGAAACCCAACCAGGCTGGGCTCAGTGGCTCAGCCTGTAATCCCAGCACTTTGGGAGGCTGAGGCAAGTGGATTACCTGAGCCCACGGGTTGGAGATCAGTCTAGACAAATTGGCTAGACCTTGTCTCTACAATAAATAAAAAAATATTAGCCGGGTGTAGTCCTGGCTCCCTAGAAGGTTGAGGTGAAAAGATTGCCGGAGCCCAGCAAGTCAACACTGGGGTGGTCGTGAGCATGCCACGGCACTCTAGCCTGGGCGACAAATTGAGACTCTGACTCAAAAAAAAAAAAAAAAAGAAACCCAACTAGTTATTTTTGATCCAGGAATGCGTATGAATGAAATTCACTGTGTTAAATAGACTCTATGTGTTAAAATTACCCTGTGAAAGAAGAGCCATAGTTCCATTTACTGGATGTGATGGTCTGGAAAGGTTGGCCTTAGAGAGAACCTCAAAGTCAACTATTTTGGGTTCTGCTGAGCCCAGAAGAAAATTGTTCAGCAGATGTTGATGTTTATTAGAGTAGGTTTTGACTACATATGGCTGCTGATTGGTGAGGATTTTAAAAATATTTTCTTTTTGCTGTCCTCCACCTTGAAAGAAAAATTACAAAAAAATTTTGAACATAAAGCAAGAAGTATGTGTTCATTTCAAAATTTTGTCCTTAAAAGGTAGTTTTTAAAAAATCATAAGTATATACAACTGTGGGGACAGCTTAACATTTTTTGCTAAATGGTCTAATTATTTAATTGAATTATTTTCAGGATGAAAATATGATCAACTTCATCAAAGGTGGACTCAAAATTAGAACAAGTTACCAAATATACAAGTAAGTTAAAAAGTGAGATGTATGTGGTTTTTAAAAAATGATCTGTGCTACATACCACTTTGTTCCTCAAAATTCTCATAAATGGAGTATAACTAGGTTTTTTATTCAGTGTTGATAAAAACGCACTTGATTTTTGGCTGAGAATGTATTGAGTACCACAGGACAACGTAACTTAAATATAATTGTAAGTACAAACTAGTTGAAAGGAAAGCTACCTGCCCAGCTTCTGACTCGATAATTGTAGTTTTCCTCTCCTTAGAACTATGTATACATTTAAAATGACAGATCTATCTTTGGTTCAGACTCTAGCACAACACTTGCCAGTAGAACTTTCTGCAGTGGATGGAAATGTTCATGTAAGTTGTCCCATAGTGCTCTCATCTTCTGTATCCTCACCAATTTTTGTCTAGTTGTTCTGTCATTTACTCTGAGCATTACAGCTTCCAACTTTGAATCTGAAGTCATCCATTTCTCCTTTAGTTCTGTCGGTGTTTGCCTCATATAATTAGGAGCTCTGCTGTTAGGCTCACATGTTCCTGTCTTCCTAATGAAATGCCTGGTCATATAGCTCTGGTAATATTCGTTGTCTCGAATTCTATTTTGTCTGATATTAATATGTTTGTGCATACTTTTTAATTCATCTTTGCATGGTATATATTCTTTTCTCTTTCTTTTTAGATTGGAAAATACAGTTTATTTAGAAAGTAAATTGGAGAGAGAGAAAGAGGGGATTCACCTCCCCAAGGGAGGGGAGGGGACCAAAGTTAGGAAACATGGTGACGACCATAGGTCAAAGAGCACATGGCCACATCAAGTCTAGCAGGGCAATGACCTATTCTTTTCATTTTAACCTTTCTTTGCTTTTTTATTTAAATTGCATTTCCTGTAGCCGCCCATAGTTGGGCAGTTGGTATGTCTGTACTCGTCTCTACCATTTTGCCTTTTCTCTTTGCCTCATCTGTTCCCCTCATCTTTTTCTTATCTTCTTTTGCTTTGATAAAACTTTTAAAAATTCCAATGTAGTCTATATTGTCTTCTCTGCTATATCTTCTTTTAAGTTTTTTAAAAGTGGTTGCTGTAGTGATTATAATATCTTTCTTAACTTATCACACCAACCTGAAGTTAATACTGTGACACTGCACATAAAATATAAGGTCTTTGTGAAAGTGTGGTTTCATCTTCCACCTGCTGTCTTTATACTATTTTTATGATATGTTGTGTAGTATACTTACATGTGTTATAGATGCCACGGTCCAGTGTCAAACTTTTGCTTCAAACAGTTATATGTCAATAATCTTCTCTCTTTACTCATATACTCACCAGTTTTGGTATTCTTCATTCATTTCTGTTTACTTGCAGATTGAAGAACTTCCTTTAGCATTTCTTGTAGTGTGTGCCAGCTTTCAAAAAATTCCTTGTTTTAATTTATTTGAAAATATCTTTACTCTTTTGCTTTCATTTTCAAGGATACTTTTGCTAACTGTAGTATTCTGAATTGATAGGCTTTCCCCCCCCTTCTTTCTGCCATTTAAAACTGCCATTCTCTTGTGTTAAGACCTTCATTATTCATAATCAAAAGTCAGTTATCATTTGTATTCTTGTTTCTCTATATGTAATGTGCCATTTTTTCTGTATTTTTTTTTGAATACTGACTTTTTTTGGTATGTTTGGATCTTAGCAGTTTGACAATTCTGTGCCTTAGTGTGGTTTTGAGAAATTTTAGTCATTATGTCTTCAAATATATTTTTTTCCTGCTCCAGTCTCATTTTCTACTGTCCTTTGGAGAATCAATTACATATATTATTCTGCCCAAATTTGTTCAATAGGTCACTGAGGTGCTGTTCATTAAAATTTTTTTCCCCAGAGCAGATATTTTCCTAACATCTGGGTGATCTTGGAGTCAGTTTCTGTTGATTGCTTTTTCTCTTGACTGTATGTCATGTTTTTCTGTTTCTTTTCATGTCCAGTTTTTTTTTGAGTTGGAGTCTCATTTCATTGCCAAGGTTGGAGTGCAGGGGGACATTCACGGCTACCCCAGTGTCAACTTGAAGGGCTCAGGCGATCCTTCTGCCTCAGCCTTCCAAATAGCCAGGACTAAAAGTATGCGCTACCAAGCATGGCTAATTTTTTGAGTTATTGTAGAGATGAGGTCTTACCAAGTTGCCCAGGCTGCCAGTAATTTTTTTATTGTACACTAGATATGGATACATTATAGGACTTGGGATTCTGTTATACTTTCTCTGTAGGGTACTGATTTTTGTTCTAGAAGCATTTAATTTAACTAAATTTAGACTTTATACTCTTACTTTCTATGAGTGAGCCACATTTTAAATCTCCACTGCATATTTTCTGTTGTCTTTGTTCCTGCTTTTTTTTTAAGCCTCCCAAGTACTCACATAATTTATTGGTTAGCAATAATTTGAATGGAATTTTAATGTATTTTTGGTTCTCTCTTCATGTATTGTTCTACCACATGTGGACATTTTCCCATGACCTTTCAGTCACCTTAAACTCTGTACTCTGACTTTTTAAGCCAATATAACTGTGACTTTCCATTTGAGTTCTAGGTACCCTGCATTTAGTGGATGGGAAGATGCTTTCAGGTGAATAGCTATATAAATAGCTCATTCAAGAATTGTTCCCTTCTTTCAAGGTTTAATTCTTCTTAGTTTCCACCTGCTTTTTTTCCCCTTCATTTTCCATTGCCTGCAAATGTATATTTTTTATTTATTCCAAAGTTTATCATTACTGTTTGTGGGAGGGTTAATCTAACACGATCTACCCTGACATTACTGGAAGCAAAATCAAATTTTAACATTTTAAAAGGTACATTTATTGAAAATTGTTTCATAAAGTTATATTGCATTCAAAATTCTGAAAGGTGGTGGCTAGATTTAGGGCATCTGACATATTCTTTTTAGGTTTTCTCGTGATATTTTTAGAAGATATGAGAGAATGTTAAATTGAATTTTTTTTTTTTGAGTCGGAATCTCACTCTGTCACCCATGTTGGAGTGCAGTGGCATGTTCACGGTCACCGTACATAGCTTTGACCCGCTGACCTCAGGCCATTCTTCCTTCCACTTCAGCCTTCCAAGTAGCTGGACCTGCAGGTGTGCGCCACCATGCCCAGCTAATTTTTTGATCTATTGTAGAGACAAGGTCTTGCCAAGTTGCCCAGGCTGGTCTCGAACCCCTGGGCTCAGACAGTCCTCTCACCTCCACCTCCCAAAGTGTTGGGATTACAGGCGTGAGCCACTGGGCCCAACATATTGAATGTTAATTGCTGTTCTAGTCATCAAAGCTTAAAAACACTAAAAAATTAAGATAGTTTTGTAATGACAAAGATGTACAAGCATACCTTGGAGATAATTGTGGGTTCTAGACCACCACAATAAAGCTAATATTATAATAATGTGTCATACAAATATTTGTTTTTCAGCACATATAAAAGTTACATTTATATTATACTGTAATCTATTAGTGTGCAATATCATTATGTCTAAAAATACAATGCTTATACCTTAATTAAAAATCCCTTATTGCTAAAAAGTACTAATGATCATCTGAGCCTTCAGTTGAGTTAGTTGAGTTTAATCTTTTTGCTGGTGGAGAATCTTGCCTTGATGTTGATGGCTATTGACTAACAGGGTGGTTTTTGTTGAAGGTTGAGGTAGCTGTGGGAATTTATTTATTTATCTTTATTTTTTTGAGTTGCAGTCTTACTTTTTGGCCGAGGCTGAAGTGCAGTGGCACAATCCTGGCCACCACAACCTTGATCTGCTAAGCTCAGGTGATCCTTCTACTTCAGCCTTCCAAGTAGCTGGGACTATAGGCACATGCCGCCATGCCCAGCTAATTTTTTTGATTTGTTGTAGAGACGATGTCTTGCCATGTTGCCCAGGGTGGTCTCGAACTCCTGGGCTCAGGCAGTCCTCTCGCCTCAGCCTCCTAAAATGCTGGAATTACAGGCATGAGCAGTGCATCTAGCAGCTGTGGGAATTTGTTAAAATAAGACAACACTGAAGTTTACCCCATCAATTGACTCTTCTTTTCATGAAAGATCTTCTTTCGTGTGATGCTATTTGACAGCATCTTTCAAAATTGGAGTCAGGCCTCTCAAATTCTGCCACTGCTTTTTCAAGTAGTTTTGTAATATTCTAAATTCTTTGTTGTCATTTTAACAATGTTGACAACATTTCTACCAGGAGTAGTGTCCATCTCAAGAAACAATTTTCTTTGCTCATGCATGAGAAGCAGCTTTCATTCAAGTTATATCTTGAGGTTGCAGCAATTCAGTCTCATCTTCAGGCTTCGATTCTAATTCTGTTTGTTTTGCTGTTTCTAACACCTTTGTAGGGACTTCCTCCACTGAAGTCTGGAACCACTTAAAGTGATCCATGAGGGTTAGAATCCACTTTTTTCAAATGCCTGTTAACGTTGCTATTTTGACCCACTTCCATTGAATCATGAATGTTCTCAATGACATCTAGAGAGGTGAATCCTTTCCAGAAGGTTTCTGGTGTTTTTGTCCAACTTCATCAGAGGAATCTCTATGGCAGCTCTAGGCCTTACATAATATATTTCATAAATCAGATATCTTGAAAGTTGAAATTACTCATTGATCCACAGGTGGGCTGCAGAATGCATGTTGTATTAGTTGGCATGAAGACAACATTAACCTCGTTGTACAGCTCCTTCAGAGCTCTTGGGTGACCAGGTGCATTGTCAATAAGCAGTATTCTGGAAGGGATCTTTTTTCTAAGCAGTAGTTCCCAACAGTGAGCTTAAGGAAGTCAGTAAACCATGCTGTAAATGGATGTGCTGTCATCCAGCTTTTGTTGTCCCATTTATAGAACACAGGCAGTGGAGAGTTGCATAATTGCTAAGTGACCTACAGTTTTTGGAATGGTATATGAGCATTGGCTTCTACTTCAAGTCATCAGCTGCATTGGTCCCTAATGAGAGAGTCAGGCTGTTCGATGAGAAGGCTGTTTCGTCTACATCGAAAATGTAATTTAGGATAGCTGCCTTCAGCAATGACCTCAGCTAGATCTTCTGAATAACTTGCTACAGCATCTCCATCAGCACTTGCTGCTTTACTTGGCACTTTTATGTCATGGAGGTGGCTTCTTTGCTTGAAATCATAAGCCAACCTCTGTTAGCTTCAGATTTTTCTTCTTTGGCTTCCTTTCTCTCTCAGTCTTTGCAGAATTGAAGAGAGTTAGGGTCTTGCTCTGGATTAGGCTTTGGCTTAAAGGACTTTTATGACTGTTTGGATCTTTCCAGACCACTATAACTCTCTCCATGTCAGCAATAAGGCTGCTTTGCTTTCTTATCGTTCCTGTTTTCACTGGAGTAGCACTTTTAATTTTCTTTGAGAACTTTTCCTTGCCTTCACAACTTGGCCTAGCTTTTGACCTATCTTGAGTCTCACTGTCACCCTGGCTAGAGTGCAGTGGCATGATCACGGCTACCGCAGCCTCGACCTGCTGAGCTCAGGCGATCCTTCTACCTGAACCTTCCAAGTAGCTGGGACTGCGGGGGTGCGCCACCATACCTGACTAATTTTTTGATTTATTGTAGAGATGAGGTCTCACCATGTTTCCCAGGCTGGTCTTGAACTCTTGGGCTCAGGCAGCCCTCTTGCCTCCACCTCCCAAAGTGCTAGATTATAGGCATGAGCCACCACGTCCAGCCTATTTTGACTTTTAACTTGCCTTCCTTGCTAAGCTTAATCATTTCTAACTTTTGATTTAAATCGAGACATATGCCACTTTTCCTTTCAATTGACCACTTAGAGGCCATTGTAGGGTTATTTATTGCTACTTTCAATACTGTTGTGTCTCGGGATAGGAAGGCTCAAGGAGAGGGTAAGAGATGAGGGACTGACTAGTGAGTGGAGCAGTGAGAATACATACAATTATGGATTACGTTTGTTGTCTTATATGGGCATGGTTCACGGTGTCCCAAAACAATCACAAGTAACATCAAAGATCATCTACCACCGATCACTGTAACTGATGTAATACAATGAAAAGGCTTGAAATTTGCAAGAATTACCAACATGTGACACAGAGACACGAAGTGAGCACATACTTTAGGAAAAATGGCTCCAAAATGCTTTCTCAATGCAAGGTTGCCACAAAACCTTCAGTTTGTAAACAACTACATTAGCTGCAAAGTGCAATAAAGTACAGTAAAACAAAGTATGCCTATATATGTCAGGGACATGTACCACAAGGTTAAGAATAGACAGTGTATGTGTGAACACACATGTGCTTATACACAAACATACACAAACAGATGTTTACCTGGGAATTTAAAATATACTAAATTCTCATGTATACATAGGTTTCTTTCAAGGCAGTAGGGCAACATAGAGTCTTTAACAAGTGTTTTGGGGAAAGTTGTTAATTTTGGGAAAAAAAGATCATTAAAACAAAAACAAATTCCGTATAGGTTTAATATTAAAATATTTTAGGTAGGTGCAGTGACTCATCCCTATAATCCCAGCACTTTGGGAGGCCAAGGTGAGAGGATTGCCTGAGCCCTCGGGTTTGAGACCAGCCTGGGCAACTTGGCGAGACCTCGTCTCTACAATACATCAAAAAATTAGCTGGGTGTGGTGGTGCATGCCTGTAGTTCCAGCTACATGGAAGGCTGAGGCGGAAGGATCACCTGAACCCAGCAGGTCAATGCCGCAGAGGCCATGAGCATGCCACTGCACACCAGCCTGGACGACAGAGTGAGACTCTGACTCAAAAAAAATAAAAATAAAAATAAAGAATTCTAGCAGGAAACATTAAGAAAGTATTTTTGTAGTTGTAAATATAAAGACCTTTGCTTTCTTTTTTTTTCCAACCTTAGGCTGAGCCCAGCGGCTCATGCCTATAATCCCAGCACTTTGGGAGGGCAAGGCAAGTGGATTGCTTCAACCAGGAGTTTGAGACCAGCCTGGGCAACATAGTGAGAACTTCCATCTCTTACACACATGCACACACACGAAATAACTTTAGAGTTATTACAAAAATTTCCATATGTTCTTCATTCAAATTCACAGATAGTAATATTCTGCAGATTCACAGTACAATTATTAAAACCAAGAAACTAACACTGGTATCATAGTAATACCTACTACACTGCCTGTTTTCACATTTTTTCAGTTGTTCCATCAATGATCTTTTTCTGCTCCAGGATCCTGGATTGTTGTGTTTACTTGTCATTTCTGCTTCGTGTCTTTTCATCTGTAAGAGCTCCTCAGTCTTTGTCTTTCATCATGCTTATATTTTAAAAAAATACTGACCAGTCATTTTGTAGACTTCTCTAATGCTTCGCCACGATTAAATTCAGATTATGAATCTGTGGTAAGAATGTCACAGAGAAAGAACACCATTGAAAATCGGAAAGATTTGCGTGGGTAGAGCAAGAAGAAACCAGAGGACAATTGGGGAAGTTGTGGTGGCCTTTGCTTTCTTCTTTCAGCTTTCCTTGTCCCAAGTTCTAATTTATGTGGTCAATTGGAGACCATGACAGTCACACTGAAATTCAGATCATGATATCAGTAGGTACATGATGTTAATTTCTTTTCTTTTTTTTTTTTTTTTGAGTCAGAGTCTCACTCTGTCACCCAGGTTGGAGTGCTGTAGCACGTTCATGGCCACCCCACTGTCGACCTGCTGGTCTCCAGTGATCCTTCTGCCTCAGCCTTCCAAGTAGCCAGAACTATAGGCGCACACCACCATGCGCGGCTAATTTATTTTTTATTTTTTATTGTAGAGATGAGGTCTCGCTAAGTTGCCCAGGCTGGTCTCGAACCCACGGGCTCAGGCAATCCACTTGTCTCGGTCTCCCAAAGTGCTGGGATGACAGGCTGAGTCACTGAGCCTGGCATCTCCGTGATGTTAATTTCACAGGCTCTTTTAGCTATGACATAAAATCAGAAGAGATGGACTGACTTGACCAAATAAACAGTCATAATTTTATCATGGCAAAATACACCATAATAGTAAGCACCAATGGAAATGGAATATAAATGACTCAGGGCAAATGACAGCATGAGATGCTCATGGGAGTCTGAATTGATTCCTCTAGACCCTTATATTTTTTGTCAACTGGAAGTCAGGCTTGCTAGGTAGGTTCAGGTTAAAAATATTTGGCTAGAATATATCACAAGTGAAGTTGCATGCTTTACACCTGCATCACACCAGGTGATACATGATCTCTTATTATTCCTTATTAACTCTCAGATATATTTGTTAATTCAATAAGCAATTCCTGATTCTTACCGATTTTCATAACTTTGTCATTTTTAGTTTGTATTTTTCTGATTAAATATTGAAGATACTGTGAATGGGAAAGAGAGAAGCAGAGAAAATAAATTATAGTGAGAAACTGGGAAGATTTGCATGAGTGGAGCAGGAGGAAACCAGAGAACCATTAGGGCAGTTGTTTTTGTCAGCTTTTCTTGTTCCCAGCTCTAATTTATCTGGTCAATTTGAGGCCACAGCAGTCACAATGAAATTCAGATCTTTTTGCCAGTAGCATTTTAGTTCCTTGGCAGACAAATAGGGTTGCTGACAGGGATGCAGTAGCTGAGGAATGTAGCCTCTCAGAATGTTTGCTGTGAAACCTGGCTGGAAGCTCTCTTGGGTGATGTTGGTTCATGGGTGAACCTTCTTTTTAAGCCCAGGAAGACGAGTCCTGCTAAACACTGTACAGATGGGTGCTCCCTTTTCCCTGGATGATGATTACCCAGTGGTCTTAAGAGTAAACTCAGCACAGCATCACCTATTTAAAAACTCTGGTATATCGTCTAATAGCATCTATTTTATGGCATATAAATGTGAAATTTGATTTAATATTTATTTTCAAAGTCATGGTGAACTTACGCTGTAACTTTTTTTCTTCATTCCAGAGAATGTCTTTCTACTCTTCATGAAATTCAGAAGAACAAACTTGAGCAGGAATTCTTCTATGAGTTTGAAGGGGGTGTCAAGCTTGGCACTGGAGCCTTTAATTTGGTGAGGAAATAATTATGTAGAAACCGGAATTTTTTTTTTTTTTTTGAGTCAGAGTCTCACTCTGTCACCCAGGCTGGAGGGCAGTGGCACAGTGCTCATGGCCACCATAGCCTAGACCTGCTGTGCTCCAGTGATCCTTCCGCCTCAGCCTTCCAAGTAGCTGGAACTACAGACGCACACCACCTCCCCCAGCTAATTTTTTTATTTATTGTAGAGATGAGTCTCACCAGGTTGCCCAGGCTGGTCTTGAACCCACGGGCTCAGGCAGTCCCGTCACCTCAGCCTCCCAAAATGCTGGGATTAAAGGCTGAGCTACTGAGCCCAGCCTGTTGTCGAGTTCTTACTGCGCCTGGCCAGAAACCAGAATCTTTTGCTGAAGAACTCAAGGTTTTCAGTGCCTTCTCTTCTGCATTTGTTCCTTATCCTGAACCTCTCCTTGGGCTGGGTTGACAAGTGGCTGGAGTGGGATCAGCTTTCCTGCCTTGTGACCCACTATAGTCTTTGGCCAGTGTGTGTCATGAAGTTCTGCGCTCGCTCAAAGTAGCTTGGGACTGCATAGTGTAAGGGAAGTGTGTGACACTCTGCACGGACTAGTAAGGTTTTCGTTAACAAGCAACAGTGGAATCCAGTTCCATTTCCACATCAGAAATATTGTTACAATGACAGTGAGGCTCTGGAACTGAAAACAGGTGAGGGAGGGATGGTTCTTGAGAAATGATTTTTGGTGATCTGCAGGGGAATGAAGAGTGTGAGTAGAAAGTGAAATTCCAATGTAATATTCAGAGATTTTGAAATTTAATTTAATTTATTTATTTGGAGTCTTACTCTGTCACCCAAGTTGGAGTGCAGTGGCAGGCTCACAACCACCATAGCCTCAACCTGCTGGTTCAGGCGATCCTTTTGCTTTACCTTTCCTAGTAACTGGAACTACAGGCGTGCGCCACCATGTCCGGCTAATTTTTTGATTTATTGTAGAGATGGGGGTCTCACCATGTTGCCCAGGCTGGTCTTGAACCTGTGAGCTCAAGCAGTCCTCTCGCCTTCACCTCCCCAAGTGCTGGGATTACAGGCGTGAGCCACTGTGGCTGGCCTTGAAATTTTATCAAGGTTTGCCTGGAATTGGTGAGAAAATAATGTGAATCATACACAAAAGTGTATGGTGTCACCATGGCCACTTTGTTCATGAGCCTTTTGGATGATGACTGGGTGGCCGGGGAAAGAAGCTGACTGGTATCCATAGAACAGGTCATCCTACCCACTTGACTGTTAAAGTCCTCCTCTATTAGGTGACCCTTTGGTGAGCATTCACATGGGATGCAACTAACTTCCCATTTCCTGGCCATGCAGAAAAATCACTCCACATGCATATTCCCTAGAGCTCCTTGTCACCACTTTTTAGCCATGTTCCGGCCAAGTCCTTGACTGTTTAGTCAAACCTTGGACCCCAGCCCATGAATGAGTATACAAGGATGCCAGAAAAAATTGTATACACATTTTAAGTATGACGTTTGCTCAAAAGTTGGCGTTAATCAAATGAATGCTAGCATCACTATACAATAGGCAGGACTGTCAAAATAATGGAAGCATGGTTGAGTGAACGTCATACTACACATTGCTACTGCAATTTAATTCAACTTCGGAAAGTAATAGCTAGATAACATCTCTTAAAATGTGTATACTTTATTCTGACGCCTCCATGTAAGTGCACATCTGGCCATTTCTTTTTCCAAGCCAAGTATATAACCAAGGTCTTATCCACTGGGAGGTTTTCCCCCTGCCATTGCCCTTCAGAAATGTCTCAGACGAGCTGTAGTCCTGCGTCTGGCCACTTCCGGATGATTCCTACACATCACATCGAATACAGCAGATTTTAGCTTTCTTGAAATGGAAACTAGAAGAAGCCTTGACTGGATGGGCACTGGGGGGTTGCCTTCTCATCACTTTATTACACCACATAAAAGGTGCCAGGAGTTTTTAGAGAATCCTGGAAAGGCCAGGCTTAAAAAATCTTTTTTTTGTTTGCTTGTTTAGGTTCATTGTCTTAACTAAATGAAACTAATTCATAAATAATGATTACAGTATGTGATGATGGAGATATGTCTGGTGATTTAATTTTTCATATTATTAAAACATTAAAGCTGTAAGTTATTGGGAGTTTAACATTTGTCTACAGTTAAATACATGTAAAGGTTTTTTTTTTTTTCTTCCTCTTACAGATGCTGTCCCTTTTACCAGCAAGGATTATCAGACTACTAGAATTTATTGGATTTTCTGGAAATAGGGTACATGTTTAATTTTACCTTAATTTTGACAAGGAAGATCATTTATTGAATATACGGGCAATGCAGCCTGTCCTTCAACCAGCATGATAGTTATTGGCAATTTGTTTGCTGGACAATAAAGAGCCATTGGTCCTTGATTATATTTTTCAGGAGTCAGACATTATTTTTCTGTTGAAAGTTAAAATTTTTCGCCTTTGTTTCCTAAATTCTGTGACTACAAATTATGTTTTACTATTACTGCTTATTTGATCTTTATTATTCTTGTGTGGGTAAAATGTGCTTCCATAACATTGTTGCAACCACCAAACTGTCTTCTGTAGAATGAAGAAATTAGGCTAGATTTCCATGTCTAATATTTTATGATTTGAATGGATCAAATAGCATGGATTCAACATAGTTCCATTATTTTGTATTTCCATATGTTTTTCAAGTTTCACTCTAAAACTAAGTGGGAAAATTTGTTTTCTATGAGTTTTAGTCATTAAGTTTCTGTGCGGTTGTGGTTTTGTAGTGAGTGTGTAACATTGTGTAACATTTGTTAATCATAACACTTAATATGGTATTCCAAGAATTGCCTCATGGTAAAAGCTATCTGTCAGTCAAGAGCAGGTTTTGAGAAATGTATGGGAACAAATATAAGAAGTTGTAATTTTTTTCCTGCTTATTCCACTTTCCATGATTTTCATGAGCCATTGTGTATTTATGGTCATCCCTTGGTGATATGTTGTCTACTGTGACTCTATTTCATGGTCATCCTTCTCCTTAGGCAACAACTTCTACCTTATTCCTTCAGATGTTCCAACTTGCTTCTTGAAAAAAGTCCAAACGATAACATGGCTTCTGATTCTAGTCAGTGTTTCTGGCCTTACACCTGTGTGCCTTGCTTTCTCAGTCCTCTTGTTAAATTGAGCAATTAACGGGCCCTGTGCTTCCCTGTTTCTGTGCTTCTGCTGGTCTCTGTTTTGAATATTCCCTTCCACCGGCCTCCTCCCAAGGAATTTTCTCTCAAGACTCCCTCAGTTCACTAGTTTTAAGACGAGTGCCATCTATCCCAAGAGACTTTTCCTCATACTCCCCCAATGAAGCTCAGCCCTTCCTAACTTTCAGAATCATTTATGTATCTTATGATGCTCACCATTTTCTTATAAAGTTCAGTGTTCATATACTGTCTTCCCTATTTGATGGAAATATCTTTGAGGATATAGAATCATATCTGTTCATACCCACCGGAGTGCCTTGCAATGAGATCCTTAATATGTTTTTAATGAATTCATATTTTTATCAGAGAAATACAGCATTCCTGTGAAATGAATACTACCTTTTCCTCTCCCCAGAATCACATGATATAAAAGGATTTATGAGATTGTCTTACGCCAGGTGGAAATGTAAAGTCTGTTTCTAGTTAGACATTACCACTATTCTAAGCTCTAGAAAAATAAACTCCACCTCCATGAAGGGCGGGGACATATGAGCTAGCATTTTAAAGATTCTGAATGTAATTTTTCAGATTTGTTTTGTATGTTCTTCTCCTTCTAAAATGCTTCGAATTCCTGCAGGAGTTGGGGCTCCTGCAGTTACGAGAAGGTGCATCAGGAAGAAGCATGAGGTCTCCACTGTGTTGCTTGACCATCCTTGCTTTTCATACCTACATCTCCCTAATCCTTGGTAAGGTCTGATGACACTGTGTGCCATTGAAAGTTGATTATCTTTCATCTGAATAAGTAAATGTTTAGAAAAATCTGTAAGATCTGGGAGTCTATTTCTGTGTACTTTTTCTGAGTAAAAATGGAAAATAGTGACATTTGCTGTAGTGACATTTGGCAGAAGGAATGGGGTGGTTTCTTTCATTGAATATTTTTCATCTGTTCTCAGCTAAAATTTCTATATTAAAACAATCTATTTTTCTCATACATAAGATTTGTTTGCAGAAAATGAGATTTTTGGCTAAAATAAATTAATATTGCTATTAAAACCAAAAATTCCAGTTAGGAATCCAAGACAGCCCCCTTTTTCTTAAGAATTAGTCTGAGCCGGGTATCTCACATCTAAAATTCCAGCACTTCGGGAGGTGGAGGCGAGAGGATTGCCTGAGTCCAGGGATTCGAGATCAACTGGGACAACTTGGCGAGACCTCATCTCTATAATAAATCAAAAAATTAATTGGGCATGTTGGCGCACACCTGTGGTTCCAGCTTCTTGGAAAGCTGAGGTAGAAGGATCTCCCGAGCCCAGCAGGTCGAGGCTGTGGTGGCCGTGAGCGTGCCACTGCACTCTAGCCTGGGCGACTCAAAAAAAAAAAAATAAAATTAGTCTGTCTTAGAGCTTTTTAAAACTAAAGTCATGGATGGAACTTGTCTTTTATTTCATGTCCCAGACATAAAAATGACAAAAAATAGTTTTCTTCTTTTCCACCTAGAGGTCTTCCCTGTATGTTAATGAAATGTGGATTGTTAGTTATAAATATCCACCATGTTTCACGGAGACTGAGGCTTTTCCTGTTACATTTCTAGGTACAGGAGAAGTGAATGTTGTGGAAGCAGAGCGTCTCCTTGCACCCTTCCTCCAGCAGTTTCCAAATGTACGCTTAGCATTTCAAGTGCATGTTTCAGCCCTAATTAATCAGCAGCGTAGATGGTTGAACGGTGTGTTTCTTCCTTTCCTCATAGGGCTCACTCATGCTGTTTTATCATGCCCGAATAGAGCTGCTGAAAGGGAATATTGAAGAGGTAATTTATTTGGCGGGAGTTATTTGGGGAATTGTCTGTATGGTGGGGTCGCATTACATGCTCATGCAACAAAGGCAGATTTAGCTCTACAGACTAGACAGAAATAAAGGAAAAATAAAAATAATATAATCTGAAAAATCAAACTTTTAATTTGTGTATACAATCTACTATATATACATTCTTTTATATATGGTAGACTGTTGAATGTGGCTTGCATTTACATATAAAGTATGTGAGACAATTCAGGGTAGATATACAAAATAACAGTCGGGCAATCTCTGGGTTTTCTTTTCTTTTTTTTTTTTTTAGATTACAAATTATAGTTTATTTAAAAGTAAATTAGGCCGGGCTCGGTAGCTCAGCCTGTAATCCCAGCGCTTTGGGAGGCCGAGGTGAGTGGATTGCCTGAGCCTGCGGGTTCGAGACCCGCCTCAGCAACTTGGCAAGACCTCATCTCTACAAAAAATCAAAAATCAGTCGGGCGTGGTAGTTCTGGCTACTCGGAAGGCTGAGGCGGAAGGATCGCCGGAGCCCAGCAGGTCGAGGCTGCAGTGGCCGGGAGCGACCACTGCATTCCAGTCTGGGCAACAGAGTGAGACTCCAACTCAAAAAAAAAAAAAAAAGTAAATTAGAGAAAGAGAAGATTCACCTCCCCAAGGTGGGGTAGGGGGCCAAAGCCAGGAAGCGTGGCTACAGCCATAGCTTGAAGAGCACACGGCCACACCGGAGTCTAGCAAGGGAGTGGCCTCTGGGTTTTCAAAAAATGTTTACCATGATCACTTTCTGCATTACGCTGACTTTGGAATCTTGCCCCTGCATAAGATGCAACTGCACTCTACTATATGTGGGCTTCTCATCAAAGGAAATTATTCACCGGTTCCCTCGAAAAAGGGAACATTGCAGTCAGAAGTAGAAGAATGGGCACCCACTCATAGAAATACACTCACAAATAATTTTCTTCCACACAAATGGGATCAAAAGTATGTTTTTCTGTGATTTGTTTTTCTCTGTTTACAAAACATCTTGGATCTCTTTCCAGGTCAGTATATCTAAATCTTTTTTTTGTTTTGATGGCTAGGTTTCATTTCATGGAATGGAAATACTGTAATTATTAAAGTGGTCCGTTGTTCATAGATATTTTGCCACTATCTGCAGTGCTTTTGTAAACATCGTTGTATGTGTGTTTCTGGTTTATTAATATAATGTATATTCTGAGTCTTAGAATTTCTGGACCAAAACGTGTTTGCATTTTGATTAATCCAGCCAAATTGCCCTTCTTACTTAAGGTTATTCCAGCTTAAACTCCTGCAAAGATATGAGAATACTTGTTTTCAATATTCATTGCCAACTCTGGACAGTATCTATCTTTTGAATTTTTGCCCATGTGACGGCTGAAAAATGAGAATCTAACTTTTACATTTATATCGCCCAGTTTACAAATTTATTCACATGTATACTCGCCATTTGTATATATTTTTTCCAATTTGCCTTTGTATATATACATATATTATGTCTTTGTCAATTTTCCTGTTGACGTCTTCTTAAAGGATTTTATAAAATTGTCTGATAGGGAGTTAATCTTTTTCCAGTAAAGTAGGTGGTAATTTTTTCTCCCAGTCTGTCACTTTTGTTTAAAGTGTGATTTGCCCAATGGGAATTCTTACTTTATTATTATCAGTCTTTTCTTAAGGGACTTATGTGTTTTATTTCTTACTTGGAAACATACTTCTTTGCTCCTACATTATAAAGTGCCAAAGCCCTTTGCAGCGTTAAATAAAGATACAGATATTAACTTTATCATTGCATATAAGGAAAGGAACATGTCATCGTACTGAGTGGTTTAATGAGTGAGATAATTTTGTCCTTTTTGTACAAAGCATTTTATGTATTTTTCCATTAGGTTATTATCTCCTTGTCTAATGTCTGGATGATCAGCTTTATGCAATTGACTTATAGGCACAAGAGATATTTCGAAAATGCGTTTCAGTTCAAGAAGAATGGAAACAGTTTCACCATCTTTGTTACTGGGAGCTCATGTGGATTTATGTCTTCCAACAAAACTGGATGCTGGCATATTACTACTCAGATCTGCTTTGCAAAGAGAGTAAATGGTCCAAGGTAAAGTACGATGCTTTCATTAATGCTGTTTCTTTGCTCATCTGTGGCCAGGACGATTTCCATTTAGGACTGTTTGTTCAATAGTCTGACACACACTGTTTCTCAACCTAGAGATCCATAAAAGGAGGAAATGTGCATTAAGTGTTTACTATTTACAGTCAATGTCCTCAGCATTACATGCTTTTTTTTTTTTTTGGTAGAGACAGGGTCTCACCATGCTGCCCAGGCTGGTCTGGAACGCCTAGTTTCTAGTGATCCTCTTACCTCATCTTCCCAAAGTGTTGGGATTATAGGCATGAGCCACTACGCCTGGCCAGCATTTCATGCCTGCTGTCTAAAGAGTTCTTTCAACAAAGGTCTTCCCTCTAAAGATAAATTATACTGATATTGAAAGTTATTAAATATCAGTAGTCTTGATAATTTTCAAAGACTTTTCAATACCCTGCAGGCTTTTCATGATAATAAAATGGATTCTGATCCACTTGTGAGGAGTTGAGAGGAATTAGATAATGTTCTTGTTAATTCTGTCCACTTTCTCACCCACGAATGCCGAGTTGTATGATAGGAGAATGGTCGAAATTATCTGAAGAATGTTGTCATTATTTTGGACAGGCAATACAAGACTTCATTTTCTCCGATTGCTTTGATGCCTCTTAATATTGTATCTGGAGGATTTGTAGGTCATTCCTGATTTGCGTGAAAGAAATGTCCTGTACCTAGAGACGTTCTATAATAATCTCCTTTTCTTCTCTTTTTTCAAGGCAACATACGTGTTCTTGAAAGCTGCGATTTTGAGTATGCTTCCAGAGGAGGACGTAGAAGCAACTAATGAGAATGTGACAGCTTTATTCAGGTAAGCAAGATGCTATTTCTTTTTTTTTTTTTTCAATTGAAGTGTCACTCTATCGCCCAGGATGGAGTGCACTGGCATGCTCATGACCACCACAGCCTTGACCTGCTGGGCTCCGGTGATTCTTCCACCTCAGCCTTCCAAGTAGCTGGAACTACAGGCGTGTGCTACCATGCCCAGCTAATTTTTTATTTATTGTAGAGACGAGGTCTCACCAAGTTGCCCGGGCTGGTCTCGAACCTGTGGGCTCAGGCAGTCCACTCACCTTGGCTTCCCAAAGTACTGGGATGACAGGCTGAGCCACCGAGTCTGGCCGCAAGATACTATTTCTATAACAAAGACTCTGGATATACGAGGGGGAGACCCCCAAAACCTGGAATTTTTTGGATAAGAAATCATGTATTTATTCTTACATGTTTAAACTTCTGTCACCCTCAAAGGACTCTCCGTTTCATGCAATATACCTGCCAAAACGCTTTTTCCACTTCTCAAAATACTTCTTGAACTTGTCAGTTTTGATGCCTTTTAGTACTTCTGCCATTTTTTGTTTCACCTCCTCCACATTGGCAAAACGTTTCCTTTTAAGGACTTTTTTCCTCCTGGGAAACCAAAAAAAGTCACTCATAGGTGAGATCGGGTAAACAGGAGGGTGAGGTGCAGGGATCATGCCGTTTTGGTCAAAAACTGCTAAACGCTTAGCACGGTGTGGGCAGGTGCGTTGTCATGGTGGAAGAACCAGTCACCTATTGGCCACACACATAAAAAATCATTGGAGCTGAACACAGCCTCTCAAAAAACACTTGCTGGTGCACTGATGCTGATTTACTCCTAGAACACTTACCTAGTGAGAGAAGCCTGCCCTCCAAAATATAATTCCAGTTTTTTTGGGGGTCCCCCTTGTATAAAGGAACACACAAATACATCTTCCTTAATGCTCTCCCAGGTTTTTTTTTTTTTGAGCCAGGGTTTTAATCTGTTGCCCAGGCTGGAGTACCGTGGTACAATCACAGCTCACTGCAGCCTCGGCCTCCTGGGCTCAGGTGGTCTTTCCTCCTCTGCCTCCTGAGTAACTGGGACTACAAGTGTGCACCACCACGCCTGGCTAATATTTTGATTGTTTTGTAGAGACGAGGCTGCTGTGTTGCCTAGCCTGGTCTCAGACTTCTGGGCTCAAGTGATCCTCCCACCTCAGCCTCCCCAAGTGCTTTTTGGCATGAACTGCCATGCCCAGCCTCCCTACTTCACTTTACTATTTCTTTAATTTCTCTACTCTTTTGATGTAGAAACCCTAAAGTAATACAGTGCCCTAAATTATCTGAAGAATGAGCAAAATGTCATCATTTTAGAAAGAGTTTGCAGATACACTGGCGTGGTTGGGAATCCTGAAAAGACATTTTTTTTTTTATGTTTTATTTATTTTTATTTATTTATTTATTTATTTTTATTTTTTTTGAGTTGGAGTCTCACTCTGTCGCCCAGACTGGAGTGCAGTGGCCGCTCCCAGTCACCGCAGCCTCGACCTTCCGGGCTCCGGCGATCCTTCCGCCTCAGCCTTCCAAGTAGCTGGAACTACAGGCGTGCACTACCACACCTGGCTAATTTTTTAAAAATTTATTGTAGAGGTGAGGTCTTGCCAAGTTGTCCAGGCGGGTCTCGAACCTGCGGGCTCAGGCAATCACTCACCTCAGCCTCCCAAAGCGTGGGGATTACAGGCTGAGCCACTGAGCCCAGCTTATTTATGTTTTAGAAGTAGGTTTTATTATTGGTACATTGCTACAGCATTTTGTACATGGCTTCCTAAGTTGGTATTGTTACCAAAAGATGTAACTTCTTGCTGTGAATCAAAGATATTCTGTGGTCAGATAAACATAAGAAACAGTATAATATATTCTTAGTATTGCTAAAGATTCTGAGAAACTGCTGTGAAGTAATCTATTTACTTTTATTTAAAAAAGTATTCATCTAGCCCTCTATCTGTCCGTTCTTTCATCTGTCCATCCATCCATCCATCCATCCATCCATCCATCCATCCATCCATCCACCATCATCTTTTTGTTGAGTACCTACTATGTAAAGGGTACTATGTTAGGTGCTAAATAAATAGTGATCCGTGTCCTTGTGGAGTTCATTATCTTGTAGTGAAATCATGTAACAATGAAATAATCACATAAATAAATGCAAACTTGCACCACGTGACTGATTTTTTTTTTCCTGTAGAATCTCTGTGTAGAGCATATAGGGGATGATGATTGAGAGGAAGCTTGAAGATGGTGATTTAGAGCACAGCTGCTAAGCATTAGGGAATTGGGGTGCACAGCAAAGGAACAGCATGAGTCAGGGCTTGTTGTAGGAAGGAGCCCTGCACATTTAAAGAACTAAAGGAAACATGATCATTGACAGGACATGTGTTCGTGTGTGTGTGTGTGTGTGTAAAATAAAGTCAAGAATGACTATCTTAGTTCAGGGTGCTATAATAATAAAATTCCGTAGACTATGTGACTGAAACAACAAAAATTTATTTTTTAGAGGGGGAAGGGGACCAGGTCTGGAGGTCTTGCTATGTTGCCTAGGCTAATCTTGGACTCCTGTGCTCAAGCAGTCCTTCCATCTCTTCCTCCCTAAGTGCTGGGATTACCAGAGTGAGCCACTGCACGGTCCCAACAAAAATTTATTTCTCATGGTTTTGGAGTCTGGGAATTCCAGATCAGGGTGCCTGTAGATTTGTTATCTATTGCAGGGCCTATTCTTGGTTCACAGATGGCCAGCTTCTTGCTTCACCTAGCGGAGAGCAGAGAGAGAAAAAGCAAAGTTTCTTCATGTCTTTTGAAAAGGACACTAATCCCATTGATGAGGGGTCCACGCTTATGAACTCTCATGAAACCTCTCAAAGTCCCACCTCCTAATACAGAAGGTTGGGATTTCAACATATGAATTTTGGGAGTGCACAGACATGTAACCCATAGTATTCTCAACACAGTATTCCATTTAACAGTAAGACAAACGTTCATGTTTAGTAATTCAGGGATCATTGGTGACCCTACCAGGAATTGATAAGATAAAAGAATGGGGGTGGAAACTAGACTGCAGTTGGTTGAGGAATGAATGTAATTTAAAGAAATGGAGAGAGTGAGTATAGATATATCCCTGGATAACTTTGGCTTTAGATGGGAGGGGAGAGAGGGAGTGATAGACATGAGGTCACAGTATTCCAGTAGGAAAGATCTGAGCATTCCCAAAACTCTCTGGGAAGGATTCAGTAGACAAAGAGAAGTTGCACATATAAACAAGAAATGGGATAATTGATGATAAAAGTTTTCTAAGAAGACAGGAGGAGAAAGGATCCAAAGCATTAGTAGCAGGATTGGCTTTAAGAGGAAGACTGACTGCTGGGTGTGGTGACTCAAGCCTGTCATCCCAGCACTTTGGGAGGTTGAGGCGAGAGGATTGCCTGAGTCCAGGGTTTGAGACCAGCCTGGGCAAATTGCTGAGATCTCATCTCTACAGTAAATCAAAAAATTAGCCGGGCATGGTGGTGCATGCCTGTAGTTTCAGCTACTTGGAAGGCTGAGACGGAAGGATCGCCTGAGCCCAGCAGGTCAAGGCTGCAGTGGCCGTGAGCTTGCCACTGCACTCCAGCCTGGGCGACAGAGTGAGACTCTGACTCAAAAAAAAAAAAAAGAAAAGAGAGGAAGTCTGAGTCCTGGTCCTCCATTTTATCGGAGGGAAGGAGTGCAGAATTGGTGAGAGCTGGGGGGGCTTGCGAATGGTAATGAGGTTCCCACTTCAACACTTCTGTTTTCTCTATGAGGTGGGAGGCAGATCAGTGGTTGAGAGTGAGAGTGAAGGCGAAGGCTAAAGAGGGTGGGGTGTGAACTTGTCTTTGGAGTCACTGTGGCAGAGGGGGACAGTGGGGTGATGGGAGACACATGGGGGGCATCAGGCAGTGCAAGGGGCCACCAGAGGCCGGTGGTGATGAATTGATGGAGATGCTGGTCTGCTGTCAGTTCAGATGCAGGGAGAACAGGTACCCAGCTTCATCCAGGGTTGACTTTTTGCCAGATGAGGGCAGTGACTAGGCAGTTGGCAAGTGCATTTAGGGAATAGGCCTGAGCGTGTGGAAGCCATGGCAAGTGCACTCTAAGTAGGAAGGTGGAGGGACAGGGAGGCGGAAGGAGACTGCTGGACTGGAAGAAGGTTGAAGAGCAAAGTGGTGGACTGAAAATGAATAGAATAGCTGAGTTAGAAAGAAGGGAATGGTATTCAAAGGGTGGTGTGCTCGATTTTGGGCTTTGAGGTAGAAAAGTTACCGGTGGTGAAGCAGTCTAGGGTATGAGTGTAGGTGTGGTGTATGAGTGCCTGGATTAGTGGATTGGTGGGTTTTCTGGGCCACATTTTGAGAAATAATGGCTTAGCTGAACCCTCTGACTTGTCAGAACAAATTTGAAAGTAAGACCAGGGCCATTTTTTCAACTCTTTATTATTATTAGTTTTTTGAATTGGAGTCTCACTCCATCGCCTGGACTGGAGGAGTGCAGTGGCATGCTCATGGCCACCCCAGCCTCTACCTACTGGGCTCAGGTGATTTTTCTGCCTTGGCCTTCCAAGTAGCCAGAACTACAGGCACGCGCCGCCATGCCTGGCTAATTTTTTTTTAATTGTAGAGATGAGGTCTCACCAAGTCGCCCAGGCTGGTCTCCAACCCAGGAGCTCAGGCAATCCTCTCACCTCTGCTTCCCCAAGTGCTAGGATTATCGGCGTAAGCCACTGTGCCCAGCCGTCAACTCCTTTTTAAAAGCTTTTCTTCAAACTAAGGGCATGTACACTTACTGTAGCATCGACATTAGTGGAAGCTATGGCATGATAACTGTTAGCTCTTACTGTAAAATGCATTTTGTCATTTCACAGAAACAGCAGTTAATGGAATGGAATATTAAGATACATTAACATCCACCTTTAGATCTCTCTCTGTTTCTTCCACTTCAGATCGAATGTTATTGATACCAAAACAATTCGTGTGAAAGATATACTCATTGTTTTCTTTTTTAATACTTCATTTTATTTTAAAGATGTGGGGTACAAATCAGGATGAGGTGCATAAGTAATCTATGTGCTGGTGAAGTTTGGGCATCCAACTGGTCCTCCTTCCCCTGCTTCAGGGAGATGTACTCATTCTTATTTTCAGGAGACAGCTTCAGGTCTGTTCTATCATGAATCTAGGTGATTGGGATAATGAGAGAGAGAGTCTTCACCACGGATGTTCTCTTCACGCGGACTCTGATCGTTGAACCACAAGGGTTCGTGTCCAAGGTGTGCTTCAGCCCCTTTCCCCTTATTCCCACCCCATGTTTCCTCTGCCTCTTCTACTGATATTCATGGACATCAAATGAGGGGCATTCTGGTTTAAAACCTATAGCCCCATATTGTGCCCAGAAATAAGCTAACACAGGCTTGCCTCGTCCTGGATTTTTTCTTCTTCTCTTATTTCATGTTACTCTTTTTTTCAGTGATGCAATTAGTATCTCCTTGAATCCTTCTCAGCAACTTGTCTGATACACTCATCAAAGTATGCGTAAAAAAGTGCTTCCACCAATATGGAGTCTCCCCACCCTACTCTCATTTTTACCTACTTGTGAATTTCATGATTGTAATTCTTAAGAATTTCGAGAGGAAGTTTGTAAACATGATACATGTACTAAGCGGATTATTTCCAAAATCACCTGTGCTTGGGAATATTTTCTCAGATGTATGCTTTAGTTGATGACTATCTTTTGGGCCACGTTATTTTATAGGTCTCGATCATACTTGCAAGTAAGCACAGGAAACATACCAGTGTGCTCTCTTCCTTCTCTCTGGGTTTCTACAATGTAAATAAACACCTTGGACCCTTTCCTGCTTATTTTTCAATAGTGCCAGTTTTATTCCTGTATCTCCTGGACTGCGTTTAATAGGTTTGGGACATTAGCTAAGTTGACTAGAGAGAAACACGGGTCACTCTTGGTTCTCAAACTTGAGCTTGCATTGGAAGCACCAGGAGGGCTCATCTCACCCCAGATTACTGACTCCACCCCTGCAACTGCTGATTCCATAGGTCTAGGAAAGGATCTGGAATTTTGCATTTTGAACAGGCTCCCGGGTGATACCGATGCTGCTGGTCTGTGGAGCACTGTGAAAACCACAGGTGTAAATAATATGCATGTGTTAATGCCTTTTCACAGACAGGTGGAGAGCTTGAAGCAGAGAATTGCTGGAAAATCTCTCCCTACTGAGAAGTTTGCTGTGAGGAAGGCTCGGCGTTACTCTCCCTCCTTGCCAGCGCCCGTGAAGCTCGTCTTGCCTGCCCTGGTATCTGCTTTGATTTTATCTACTGTTCACGTGCTAGAAATAAATTATTCGCAATGGCAGGAAGCATATCTAACTTTGGTTATGGAGTTTAGCTCAATTAAAATTAAAATTTTTAGTGTTGCTGTAAGGTGAACATTTTAAAATAAGTTATTAATACATAATAAAAATTACAGCAAATTGGTGTGTGTTCCAGGCATTATGAGTAGGGCTGTTAAAATATATTATTTAAGTCTTAGTAATAATAACTCTATGAATGTAGATCTATTTTCTAGATAAGGAAATTCAGACAGAGAGAGGTGAAGTAGACTTCATTGAAATTGAGTTAAATTATAATACAAGCCACATGATGTAATTTTACCTTTTCTTTTTTTTTGTTTTTGAGTCAGAGTCACACTCTGTCACCCAGGCTAGAGTGCAGTGGCACACCGTGGCCACTGCAGCCTCGACCTGCTGGGCTCTGGCAAGCCTTCTGCCTCAGCCTTCCACGTAGCTGGGACCACAGGTGTGTGCCACCATGCCCGGCTAATTTTTTGATTTAGTGTAGAGATGAGGTCTCTCCCAGTTACCCAGACTGGTCTCGAACCCGAGAACTCAGGTAATCCTCTTGCCTCTGCCACCCAAAGTGTTGGGATTACAGGCATGAGCCACCGAGCCTGGCCAAATTTTACCTTTTTTAATAGCCACATTTAAAAAGTGAAAGGAAAGATGAAAGGAATTTTAGGAATAGATTTTGTTTAGCCCAACATATGCAAAATTTTATCATTTCAACATGTAGGTGATAAAAGCTTCTCTGTGAACTGTTTCACATTGTTTCATATTGTCGGAATTATTTGAAATCCGTGTGTCTTTTACACTTAGGGGACATCTCAGTTGCAGTAGTCATATTTCCAGAGCCTGAGAGCCACAAGCAGCTGGTGGCTGCTGTGGTCCAGCTCTTGCTCACATTCTTAAACTTTATGCCACTTAGGTGAGGCATCTGTAAAAAACACAATTACAACTTAAATTTTCTTTTTCTTTTGAGTCGGAGTCTTACTCTGGAGTGCAGTGGCATGCGCATGGCCACCATAGCCTCAACCTGCTGGACTCCGGTGATCCTTCCGTCTCAGCCTTCCAAGTAGCTGGAACTACAGGCACGTGCTACCACACCTGGCTAATTTTTTGATTTATTGTAGAGATGAGGTCTCGTCAAGTTGCTCAGCCTGGTCTCAAATCCCTGGGCTCAGGCAATCCTCTCACCTTGGCCTCCCAATGTGCTGAGATGAGAGGCATGAGCCACTGTGCCCGCCTTAACTTAAATTTTCTTAATCAAGTCTTCTTCAAAAAAACACTATGTGTGTTACATTACCATGACTCTTTTGGGCTTTAATTTTGTGTTGGTATCAGCCCAGGAAAGCTGTTCAGGCAAGCTTACGTCTGCAATCCTCCTTTGGGATTTCCTGAGTCATTTTGCTTTGTTTTGTTTTTTAGTCAGGAGTTTATTTTATTATTCCACCTTGACAGTTATTTAGGGTTTTCCAGTCTTTACTATTACAGACACACTACCATGAATATCCTCTCGCTTTCTGTACCTGTGCATATAATTCTCTGGGAAAGATAGCTAGAAGTGGATTTCTGGTTGAAAGGTATATGCATTTAATATTTTGGTAGATATTGACAAATTTCCCTCCCCCAAAACAGCTCCAATTTAACTTAGTACCAATAGTGTTTTACCATCTTAATTTGCATTTCCCTGTTGGTGTTATGGACCATCTTTTTTGTGTATTATTGTTTATACTGTTCCCAATTTTTTACTGGGCGGTTGTTTTATTATTGATTTAAGGATTTCTTTATACATTCTGTAAGAAAGGAAACTGCAAGGACAGATGGGGTGGCTCACGCCTATAATCCCCGCACTTTGGGAGGCTGCGTGAGAGGATTGCCTGAGCCCAAAGGTTCGAGACCAGCCCGGGGAACTTGGCAAGGCCTCATCTCTACAATAAATCAAAAAATTAGCCAGGTGTGGTGGCGCATGCTTATAGTTTCAGCTCCTTGGAAAGCTGAGGTGGAAGGATCGCCTGAGCCCAGCAGGCCGAGGCGGAAGGATCACCGGAGCCTAGCAGGTTGATGCTATGGTGGCCATGCGTGCCACTGCCCTCCAGCCTGGGCGACAGAGTGAGACCCCGACTCAAAAAAAGAAAAAAGAAAAATGCAGCCCCTCACAGGTGTCAGATGGGAGCTAGCCTGCAACCAGCACCTAGGCCCGGGTGTTTCCTCCTCAGTATAACCAACCGCAGAGAACTACAGTATCAGACAAGGTTCTTCCGTGACTGTGATGGAGCATGACAAAGATGCGATCCCCCTGTAATGATGTGTGAGCAAGATAAAAACAAGAACACTGTGTACATCACAGAAATAACCAAACACCCCCACTCCCAGCTCACATGAGAGTTTGCTGCTGCTTTGCCAGTTACAGCTTTAGCTCCATATCTGATTCATGCTTATTGAGTGATTTGCACTGGGGAAGCTTTTCTTCCTGCCTCACAGAATATTTCTGAAAATCTTGTAGACCCTCACAGTTGTTTCTCTGCCCTAAGTGCTTAGATGCTAGTGTGTACGTAGTTGTATTCTGCTTTGACTATTAACTCATTCACGATTGTTGATGTGCGTTTATGTCCTTCCAAATTGAGTCCCTGGTTGCTGCTGACGTGAATTTACGTCTTTGCAAATTCTGTCGCTGAATGGTGCAACGTTGTCCTATGTATGTGCTGTTATATTTTGCTTAAAAATGAATAGCCAGGCTGGGCTCGGTGGCTCAGGCTGTAATCCCGCGCCTTTGGGAGGCTGAGGTGAGTGGATGGCCTGAGCCCGCGGGTTCGAGACCCGCCTGGGCAGTGAGACCTCATCTCTACAATAAATCAAAAAATCAGCCGGGCATGGTAGCGCGCGCCTATAGTCCCGGCCACTCAGAAGGCTGAGGCGGAAGGATCGCCGGAGCCCAGCGGGTCGAGGCTGCGGTGGCCGGGAGCGGCCACTGCACTCCAGTCTGGGCGACAGAGTGGGACTCCAACTCAAAAACAAAAAACAAAAACAAACAAAACAAAAAAAAATAATGAATAGCCAGGCAAGGAGAAAGTTAATTGAGATAATTATCTGAGAGCGACTGGGCAGTGTTGTTACTGATTTACGTACTTGGTAAAAATGGCAAGTTGGTCATTATTTTGTTGCGATGAGTGTTGTATTTTGATATTTCAGGGCTTTCATACTTCAGTGTTAAAAATAATTTACCATATTTATGGAAAATGAAGAGGTATATGCTGATGAGACTTCCAAGGTCGAAGGTGAATCCAGTGAACTTATTAGTGAAAGTGAGACAGACAGTGATGTAGTGTTGCAGTGTAAACGAAGAAATATGTATATATAACTAACACACACACACACACGCGCGCGCGCGCAATATATATTCAGTTTGTGATCCGAATAAAAATACAAAGTATGGAATGCTTGTCAGAATGGTATCTGAGGCAAATCCTGGATATGTCTGCAACTTTCAGCTGTACTGTGAAAAAGGTGACAATTTAGAAAAGACCATTTCACTTGTGCTTGATGACAGAAGTTTGCGGCAACCAGCTTCAGATTTTTTTTTATTGTCGCCTGTTCTCAATATTTGGAAAGGGAAAAATTTGCCGATTGTGAATGCGTTAAGATTCTTAAAGAAGGTTAACTCACTGCACTTCTTTCTCCAGGTTTATGGTTATAGAATGTTCAGGAAATTGGCTTGATTTGGTTGTACCTAGGATTTTTTTTTTCTTTTTGGAAACTTTTTACCAAAATCTTATTTTTCACAAAGACTCAGATGTGAGCTTCCCTTCTTCTGGTTAAAAAAAAAAAAGAAATATATATATACACACACACACACACACCAGCAATTAAACAAATTAAAGATAATCATCAATTACAAAACTATTCCATCAGGTATTGAATTGAACTTACTCTATTAACAATAAGAAATTGGAAGGTAGAGTGTTGTGATCTTAATTTTCAGCATCATAAAGTGCAGATAACTTTGCTGCCACTCTACTTGGATGTGGTCTTCCCCATTTCCACTACTTCCCTGGTAAGAGGATTTTCCAGCAATGTTTTATCATATCTTAAAATGTATTTATTTCCAAGAAGATCCTAATTACCTTGCTTATTTTATACCCTTCAAAATATGAACTATACTATTGGGAACATTAGAAAAATATTTTCAAGCAAAAATGCTGTTGCTTTTGATCCAAAAAAAATTCTCATCTGTTAGCCCATTAAATATAATCTGCAATGAGAAATCATTAATTTACATTTCCAGGGGCTGTCATTCAGCCATATGGCCTTTAAATGAATGCGTTTTCTGCATATTGGATTGCATTACTGGACCGTCACATGTTTTTAATGGTAGGAAAGACCCTATGCCCAGCAAAATATTCCAGTGTTCATTTCCAGTGATATTCTTGGAAACATTTGATATAAACAACTGGCAGACATTTTAAAATATTTTCCTTTCCTTAAAAGAAACCACAAATGTTTACATTAAACAGAATTGTTCATCATATCAGTTTAAAATATTTATGAATTTCTGTATCTGTATTCTATTATCTTCCACAAGAATTGAATACCAGTTGGTGTTTAATACATATTTGTTATATGAATGAATAAATTAAGGTTCCAGTAAAAACGTAATATACTCTACATTCTGAATTCACAGTCCAAGAGGCAAAAGGTAAGGAAAATGACTTCTAAATAGTCTTGAGACCCCCTGGCGACTAAGGTAAAGACACATACATAGTTTGGCGATCACAAAGGACGCTGAATAACCTCCCATAGTTACAAGTGGTTTTCATTTTTTCCCCATTAGGAAATGATGTATGTGTGGAATGGTTTTTCAATAGTGAGCAAAAGAAAAGACCTTTCTGAAAATCTGTTGGTAACTGTTGAAAAGGCTGAGACAGCTCTACAAAACACAAGTAAGTGTGAACCGTAAGCACCTTTGCCTTACTTTGGTCTTACTTAGACTTCTGTCTCTGCTGCATGGTCATTCTCCTGGCTTTTCTCTGTGCACATCTGCCCGTGCTAATTTGTGTGCGTCACGAGGACAAAGGCTTGAGCTGTAGGGCCCGGGCAGTTGCAGTCAAGATCACGGGAGGAATGATGCACACAGATCATGGAGAAGCCTTGGATCTACTGGGCTAGGTGAAAGAAGCCTGTCACAAGGACTGTGCATGGTGTGATTCAGTTTCTATGAAATATTTAGAATAGGCAAATCCCTAAAGACAGACAGTAGAGTGGTGGTTGCCTGGGGGTGGGGGCACTGGGGTGGGGCTGTGATGAAATGGATTGCGGTGATGGCTGCCCAACTCTATAAATACACTTAAAAGTCATTGATTTGTAGACTTTCAGTGGGTGTGTTGTATAGTTGTGAACTATGTCCTAAAACGACTTCAAAAAAAGATGAAGGAAGGACGGAAGACAGGCATTCATGATGTAGAGTAGCACAAGGAAAATGAGCGCTTCCTTCTGGGTTTGGTCGACTGTGTCTCATTCCATGCCTTGTCATTGCTGTCTGATGGCTAGTGATGCTATCTGAGGACTGCAGACACAGGGAAGAGTTTTCAAGTTGCAATCTTATCACGATCTAATACTTAACTCATTACCTTTGGTTGTGCTGGAGGCCCCACTCCGTGTGCTGGAAGCTCCGTTTCCTGGAAGCGGCTAACATAGTGGAAGGAGAGTCATGCTGTCTGGGCCGACAGTCCCAGTGCCACAGTCACCAGATTGTGGGAAACACCTGTTTTCTCTTGCAGTGGAAGCAGTGGAGGATCAGATAATAACCAAAGTTGTTTTCTCACTATGATGTTTTGATTTTACATTTTTAATAGAGGCTTTATGTTTTGGTAAACAATGCCATGAATAAGAGCTTTTGTTGTGTTCCTTATTGTCGCATGTTTTTAACGTAAGAAAGACCCTATGCCTAGCAAAATATTCCAATCACTTAGGTATTGTCCCAAGATAATGGTCTTATCTTTTGGAATGTTCTAACCACAGAAATAAGGTGAAAACTTGTGTGATAGTAAACATGGCAAAGGGCATAGGAATTCAGGAATGGTGGGGGGAGGAATTGTAACAGTTAACTCTTGTTTCTTAACTGGAAAAAGATGGGCACTCCAAGTGCTGGCTCCATTCTCAGTTTACTCCCCATAGCAGGAATTAAATTGTTGGATATGACTCCAGGGTTGAGGACTTTGTTTGGGTTTTTTTTGGTACATGTAGGTTTGGTATCAAGCTGAAATATTTAATGAGATTCCTCTCTACAATTATTATTTTAACGTTAAGCACATATAATTATCAGGTTAGGTGGAAAGAAGTCACCCATATTTTTGCTGTGTGACACAATTTAGAGTTTTTGTGTATTTCGTTCTAGCCTTTTATAGTTACAAACATAGGATATCTGGACATATACTAGCCTTGTTTTCTTTTTCATTTAAAGTATCATAAACTTTTAAAATGTTGGTAAATAGCCTTTATAAATTTCAAAAAGCTTCATCGCACTCTGTAAAGCTAAAGGATCATTATTGAATCAACTCTTTCAGGATTGTTGGGCATTTAGACTGTTTTTCCTATTTAAAATAATTATAGCTTTAGATTTTCATCCATCAATAGGAGAAGAAATATAAAAGAATGATAGTTGAGTCAGTGGGCTTATCTGTGGTTTTTTTTTTTTTTTTTGAGTTGGAATCTCACTCCATTTCCCAGACTGTAGTGCAACCACCCCAGCATTGACTTGCTGGGCTCAGGCGATCCTTCTGCCTCAGCCTTCCAAGTAGCTGAAACCACAGGCACGTGCCACCAGGTCTGGGGAATTTTTTGATTTATTGTAGAGACGAAGTCTCACCAAGTTGCTCAGGCAATCCTCTCATCTCATCTCCTAAAATGCTGGGATTGCAGGTGCGAGCCACCACACCTGGCGGGGTTTATCTATTACCAAGGAAAAAGTTTCAGGTCAGACAGCTACAGAGTCAAAAAGAACAGTGCTGTTCTGTGGCCACCTACGCTCTTCTCCCCACACACCCCCGCTTGCAAACAGCGACCAGGAGAAGAGATGCAAAGCTCATCTCTGATGAGGCAACCTATATTAAAGGCAACCCTTTTATAAAAGAACTGAGGTTTCCTTTTACTTTCTTCTTCTTGCTGTCTCGCTCATAGTAAAGTAATATCGCTTCAGCCCTTTTTTGAGCCAGTGCTTAGAGTAGCCAAAATATTGAAGTATCCCTCTTCACTGATTGAGAATGCCCTTTGAATTCTGGATACCAAGGAAGTAAGTGGATGAGAAGGCTCCAGAACTGGGACCAAAAAGAGTAATTCAGAGTTTGTACTGTTTAACGAACCACAGGAACATAAGCAAAAGTGCAAACTACAGATTTATCACTTCACTTATCATTTCAGACTTTGTATGTTCTAGAAATCCAGCACTAACATATTTTTCTACATTGTTTCTATTGGTACAGTGTTTTGATAAGCTTCCTTTTTTTTTTACAATTATACCTTAAAATTTAAAAAAAATTTTTAAATGTGTGGGGTACAATTCAGGGTTAGGTATACAGATGTTCATTATGCAGGTACCCTTGTTGATGAGGTGTGCCCCCCGCCCCCTGGCAGTTTCCCACTACTGCCAATCCCTTTCTTATAGTACTACGATAGTTGTTCAAGGTCAGCTTATGAGTGAGAATGTGTGGTACTCAGTTCTTTGTTTCTGTGATAGATCACTCAGTATTATAGACTCTAAGTCCATCCAAGTTGCTGTGAAGTTCATAATTTTGTTCTTTGTGGCTGCGTAATATTTCATCATGTATATGTACCACATTTTTTTAATCCAGTCCTCTTTCGATGGGCAGCATGGTGAGTTTCATATTTTTGCTATTGTGAATAATGCTGCAATAAACATGCATGTGCAGGTATCTTTTTCATAGAGTGATTTGAATTCCTCTGGGAATATTCTCAAAAGGGGGATTGCGGGGTCGTATGGAAGGTCGATCTTTAGATTTTTTAGGAATCGCCACTCTGTTTTCCACAGTGGCTGTACTAGTCTCCACTCCCACCAACAGTGTAGAAGTGTTCCCTTTTCACTGCATCCTCTCCAGCATCTGTTGTCTTTTGACTTATTGATGATGGCCATCCTGACTGGAGTTAAGTTTTATCTCAGTGTGGTTTTAATTTACATTCTTTGCTGAGTACCTTTTCTTAATTAAATTATTTTTTAATTTTGGTAAAAAATGCATAATATAAAATTTCCATCTGAACCAGCTTTAAATGTACAGTTCAGTAGTATTAAGTATATTCATACCTTTGTGTAAATAATCATCAGAACTTTCTCATACCCATTAAACAAGAGCTCCCCATTCCTCCTTTTCCCCCAGCCCCTGGCAGCCACCATTCCAATGTCTGTTACTATGAGTTTGACTACTCTAGATACCTGATATAAATGGAATCACAAAGCATTTGTCTTCATGTGATTGCCTTATTTCACTCAGGATCATGTTCTCAAAGTTCCTTCATGTTAGAGCATGCATTCGAATTCCTTCTTAGCCGGGCTCGGTGGCTCAGCCTGTAATCCCGCGCCTTTGGGAGGCTGAGGTGAGTGGATTGCCTGAGCCCGCAGGTTTGAGACCCGCCTGGGCAGCGAGACCTCATCTCTACAATAAATCAAAAAATCAGCCGGGCGTGGTAGCGCATGCCTGTAATTCCGGCTACTTGGAAGGCTGAGGTGGAAGGATCGCCGGAGCCCACCAGGTCGAGGCTGCGGTGGCCAGGAGTGGCCACTGCACTCCAGTCTGGGTGACAGAGTGACTCCAACTCAAAAAAAAAAAGAATTTCCTTCTTAAGCCTACATAATATTGTATGTCTATACCACATTTTGTTTACCCAGTCATCTGTCAATGAACATTTGGGTTGCTTCCACATTTTGGCTAATATGAATTATGTGGCTATGAACATGGAGGTACAAATATGAGAGTATGCCTTCAAAAAATCAGAATTATATTTTGGGAGGCAGACCCTTTGAAATACAGGCTTCCCCTGCTAGGTAAATGTTCTGGGAACCCATGGGCATCAGTGTGCCAGCTAGTGTTGTGAGAGGCTGTATTCAGCTTGATGGAGCTTTTTTTTTTGGAGATTCTTTCAACATGTTTGCCTATTTCATGATGAGTGATTTACTTGAACAACCTGCCCACACTGTGCTGAATGTTCAGCAGTTTTTGAACAAAGACAGTAAGACCCCTGTGCCCCACCCTCCCTATTCACCTGTTCTCGCCCTGAGTGACTTTTTTTTCTTTCCCTGGATGAAAAAATTCCTTAAAAGGAAACGTTTTGCCGATGTGGAACAGGTGAAACAAAAAACAGCAGAAGCACTAGAAGGCATCGAAATTGACAAAAACCGTTTTGAGCAGTGGAAAAAGCATCTCCATAGGGGCATTGCATCAAACAGAGAGTTCTTTGGAGATGACTGACGTTTAAACATGTAAGAGTAAATACACAATTTTTTATAAATAAATTCCCATTTTTTTTGGGTCTCCCCTCACATCACATGTAGCGGAGTCTTGGCATATCAAGAAGTTCTGAAATTTGGGAGAAGGACCACTGGGCTTTTCTCTGTTTTTGAACAAACTCTTCACCACCCCCTCCCCCTGGTTTATTTTGCCCCTCCATTGCTTGGGGTTGGGGGATGGGGGGCGGGGGTGTGGCTATTTAGAGGAGAAAATATGTACTGTGTTAGACTTGGCGTGTAAGATGCAGAGGAGGTTTTGAAAGCCAAGCTGTTCTCCTCTACCCATTCTTTTTTCTTCTAACATGTTGAGCTTGTCTAGCAGGCTTTAGAGCTATTTAGACAGATGCAGAGGAAGCTGAGACAGACTGACAGACGTGCCATACTTAGTCCCGGCTTTGTGTGTCCTCTCTGTGTGAAATAATTAGTTTATTTTCTTAAGATCACCTTTGCCGGCTGTTGCCTATGAAATTTATTATGATGGTCTCTTCCGGGACCGTTGCTGTGCAGGAAGATTACCTACCTCAAACTGTTGGGACCTTTTAAGCTCAGATCCTTCAGAATGGGGAGAAAAATCCTTAATTGGAAAATGGAGTAAAGTTGTAAACCTGAGTTTATGTCCGTTTCCACCTGCCCATCCCCATTGTTAGAAACTGGATGAATTTTTGCTCCTCCTAGCTTTGACAGGTGTGTCTAAAGTGAGAGACGGTAGAGGATACAACTGGTCTACTCTGACCATGCTCTGGCCATAGTTATTAAAGGCTGGCCACCAACCCAGAGGGTAGAACTCTTGTGACAGAAAAGCACTTGGTAATATCCCTGAAGTCAGTATTTGGCATCAATTCCCATAGTGTTTCATTCGAAATTTACTTAAATTCAACATATAGCCAGAAGTTGGTACGGCAGTTCCAACTTCTATTTGTTGCGGTTAATCTGCTTGGTGAAATTATAGAGCAAACATAATCAGAGTTATGTTATCAGAGTTATGTAAAAAGGAAATTGTTACTGACTAACTGGCTTTTCATTTTTAAATCCAGTTTTACATTTCCTTCTTAGAACTGTTTCTGCTAGCAACACAGTTTTTTTTGTAGACTGGGTTTCAAACTTCCTTTTTCCTCAGCCTACCCACCATTTTATTATTAAGTTCAGCAGCTCTTTTGTGATAAAATTGTGCTTTGGCAGCTTTATCATGTAATTTTCTTTGAATGTAAAATGGGAACTGTGTTGAAATGTTCATCTGTGAACTCATTCATGAGGTTGAAAGCTATGACAAGGCATTCATGTTTTGAGGGAAGATAATCATCTGACAGATAGTGGTCTGTAGTCTGAGATAATAATGCTGTTGGAAGAATGGTATTTATGAACCCATTTGTGATGTCCCTAACCCAAGTTCTACATAAAAGTTGTGTGCAGCTTTACTGGTATTTGAACTTTCGATGATTGTATGAATCTTGCCATAGCACACACTGTCAATAAAATGCTGCAGAAAGCGCAGTAGAATTCACAGAAAGATACTAAAAACTAGCATCCAGTATAGACCCTATAAGTCCTAAGAGACATTGCTTCTTGAATGCGTATTTCAACAAACATCTATGATTTGAAGTAAGGATAGATTTGTTTTTTTGGCAGAAAAAGATCCTAAATAAGTAATAGAAAAGGTAATATGATATAGCTGTCTGATTTCCTGGGCGAATGACCTATGAGAGCTTGAAAGTTAGAGGTGAACATCTGCTGTTTTCAGCACCTGGGAGTAAAAATGACCCCCTTCTCGTTGGCTAAGTAGCATTGTTAACCTCCTGGAGTTTACCAGCTAAGACTGCAGCATGTCTGTTCATGGTGATTCCTGAGCATTATGCTTAAAGCAGGAAGATTCCAGGATGTGGGACTCCCAGGCCCTCATTATTTTCTCTGTTGCCCCTCCTCTCCATTGTTTCACAGCCTGAAATGTGTAAATTACCAGTCCGTCTTGGAATGGCTTCTCAGTTGCATGTAACTTGCAAAAAATAATAATAATAATAAAAAAACCTCAAAAATGTAAATGTGGAATGGCTACCTTTGTCACATAGATGCCACACATAACATGGTTCCTTCTGTTTAATACATACTTGCCTTGGGCTGTAGAAGGCAGAGAGCTATTTTCAAAAGGGAAAAAGTGGCGAAAGAACATTCTTGACGTTATCCTTAAGCAATGGGAAGTTTGTGGGGATTTTAGGTGCCTCTCATGTACTTCAGAACCGTTTTGTCTAATTTTATGACATAATTTCCCCCCAAAAGAACATAACCTGGGAGGATTGATACGCTGTAAACATAATGATCTGGAGAGGGTGTTCTGCTTCCTGAATTTTTAATGGGTAGGAGGCCATCTGTTTCTCCATATGGAAGTGTTATCCTCTCCTGCACAGAAGCCAGCGCAGAAGCCAAAACCACAGGAGGGGGCAGCTTTCTTGTTCCTCGTGGCTTTACCTTTTTTTTTTGCATTGGAGTCTCACTCCTTCGCCCAGGCTGGAAGGCAGTGGCACATTCACGGCCACTCCAGCCTCGACCTGCTGGGCTCCTGTGATCCTGCCGCCTCAGCCTTCCAAGTAGCCAGAAATACAGGCATGCGCTACCACGCCCGGCTAGTTTTTAATTTATTATAGAGGTGAGGTCTCACCAAGTTGCCCTGTCTGGTCTCGAACCTGCAGGCTCAGGCAGTCCACTTGCCTCCGGCCTCCCAAAGTGCTGGGAAGACAAACTGAGCCACTGAGCCCTGCCATGACATTACCTTTCATAAAGCTCTGACTTTATTTAGAGTTCAGGTTTCCTGCTGTCGTATCTAAGCTCACAAAATTCAGGGTGTGACCACCTGAAGAATACTTGTAAGTGGACAGAGTGAACCCTTTGGTAAAATGGTGCACTGACGTAGTACATCAGTATTCTTTTCATTTAAAATAATTTCATTGTATCTCATTTAGTGAGGCATAACAAATGCTAAAAATATTTTCTTTATTTTTAAATGACTCCATAACAAATGCTAAAAATATTTTATTTTTAAAATAACCCAATAGCCGTTAGTTCTTCCTCTCATTTAGAATTTTAAGAAATATTTTCCTTTTTGTATGTTTGCTTTGCGTTTTAAGATTTTAATGACTTCTCTGTGGACGACGAGTGCTTAGTGAAGCTTCTGAAGGGTTGCTGCCTCAAGAACTTACAACGGCCCCTGCAAGCCGAACTGTGTTTCAATTATGTTGTAGAAAGGTAAGAACAAACACCAAGACCAACCGGACTGCAAATTGGGCCTCCTGGGAAATTACTGTGGACAGGCGATGCAAAATGTTTTTATCTTCTGCTGCTAAACTTTTACCTGGTGTTAGCAGAAAAAGAATCTGGTACTGTTTTATTTGATTCCTTATAGACAAAATTATGGTCTAAGTGGAACATAGATTAATGCAATTTCTACTTGTTGTGTAAAGATTACCCACAAAAACTACATTTAAACCTGGTTAACAGGTGTCTAGCCAAACTCTGGCAGTGTCATACTGAACCTCTGATACTCTTTTTTTTTGAGTTGGAGTCTTACTCTGTCGCCCAGGCTGGAGTGCAGTGGCATGCTCACGGCCACCGCAGCCTCGACCTGCTGGGCTCAGGTGATCCTTCCGTCTCAGCCTTCCAAGGAGATGGAACTACAGGCACGCACCACCACGGCCAGCTAATTTTTTGATTTATTGTAGAGATGAGGTCTCACCAAGTTGCCCAGGCTGGTCTCGAACCCATGGGTTCAGACGATCCTCTCACCTTGGCCTCCCAAAGTGCCAGGATTATAGGCGTGAGCCACAGCGCCTGGCCATCTTTTAAATTTAGAAATATATTTTTTCTTCCTTTTTGAGACAGGGTCTCTCTGTCATCCCAGCTGGAGTTCAGTGATGCTATCATAGTTCACTATAGCCAATCCTCCCACCTCAGCCTCCTGAGTAGCTAGGACTACAGGTACATACCACTATACCTGACTTCTGATACCCATTTAATTCCTGCATTGTTTGTTCATTCATGTATTCCATAGGTCTCTGAGCACCCACCTGTGCCAGAGACCGTTCTGGATTCCTGGGATTCAGAGTTGAGGAAACAGCCTTGCCATCACTATGATGATAATTTGGCAGAAAAGAGAGACGTGTGACAAGCACTCTAACTGCCTCTCTTTTGACAAAGGGCATTTCTTTGCATGTAATTGAGTTTTGCTCCCCCATCCCACCACCACCAGTAGCATTCATGATGTTATTCTGCTTCTTTGCTGACCATACACTTAACGCAAGGTTCTTATGCCTGGCCCCTTCTCTGTACGACAAATGCATGTATCTGCAGGGGCCAGACAAGTGACCTTTCTGAATGAGGTTGGCTGAGTGGTGGCAGGTATGGGAGCTGGTGAGCACTGTAGGTAGGGAGATTGTGGGTTCTCTCTGAAGAGTGCAGCCACCCCTCAGCTCGAGTTGATTATTTCGCTACACAATGTGGGCCCAGTAGCAATAATCCCTACCATTTTTCATGAAATCTGGAGTTTCTGTGAAATTACCTGATTTTAAAATCTTGACTCAAGTTTTTTGAAAATACCGTGCAAGCCAAAAATCACAGCCATAGACTGCCAGTGGATATCCTGTCTTTACACCCATGGCCACCTTATTACCTTCTTCCTGACATTACTCATGGAAATACAAGGACTGGTGCCTGTACAAGAAAGGGACATATCTTTTCCCCAACTATATACGGTATTTAGTTAAGCATGTTAAAGAAAGTATCCACAGGGTTATTAGGTTTTTTTTATTTTTATTTATTTGTTTTTGAGTTGGTATCTCACTCCGTCAACCAGACTGGAGTACTGTGGCACACTCATTGCCACCCCAGTGTTGACCTGCTGGGCTCTGGATCCTTCTGCCTCAGCCTTCCAAGTAGCTGGACTGCAGCCTCGACCTGTTGCGGTCCAGTTACTTGGGAGACTGAGGCAGAAGGATTTATTGTAGAGACGAGGTCTTGCCAAGTTGCCCGGGCTGGTCTGAACCTGCAGGCTCAGGCAATCCACTCACCTCGGCCTCCCAAAAAGTGCTGGAATGACAGACTGAGCCACCAAGCCTGGCCTTTTTTTTTTGATAGTGTTTTTTTAAGGATTGAAAGGATGATAAAAAAGATGACCCATTGTGCTGGGTTTTTTGTTTATCGAATCTCATAGGGAATTATTTGCTCATATGGTTAATAATTATGGATTGTGAGCTCACTTTCAGTGAGATTTAATGCTGAGATTCCTGTGAGGCTGTATAGAGAGGAGGAGTTGCCCTAAAGTGATTTTGCATTTCATTTCTGTCAGGTACTCTAAAGGCTTTTTCAGCCCACAATCACTTTCATGTTAATTTCCTTGCTTACTGGTTCTTGGATCATTTGGGCAATATAAATTGTACATTTATGTGAGGGCAGGCCTGTTGGTTGTTATTTTCCCAAGGAATGTTCTTTTTCTTCCCACCAAAAATGCTGGCCAAGGAGACAACCAACTGTCCTGTGACAGTGAGTGGGTGTTTTCTTTCCTTTTTTTTGAGTCTGAGTCTCACTATCACCCAGGCTGGAGTGCAGTGCCGTGCTCATGGCCACCGCAGCCTCTACCTGCTGGGCTCAGGTGAGCCTTCTGCCTCAGCCTTCCTAGTAGCTAGAGCCACAGGCGTGCGCCACCACGCCTGGCTCATTTTTTGATTGATTGTAGAGACGAGGTCTCATCACGTTGCCCAGGCTGGTCTCAAGCCCACGGGCTTAAGCAGTCCTCTCGTCTCCACCTCCCAAAGTGCTGGGATTCCAGGTGTGAGCCACCATGCCTGGCTGGTGGATTATTTTCTAATCGGCCCTTTCTCTATAGGAGTAGCCCTTCAAGGATCCCAGCTTTAAATAGAGGTCTCATTTTCAGCTTCCTGCTTTTATTGGGCCCAAGGCCTCATCTCCTGCATGGGCATTAATAGGCAAAGCCCTGGATGACTCAGATGAAAGCAGAGCCAGCCTCTTTGGATTCCAGCTCTGTTTCTGGCACCTGAGTATTTTTTCTCACGTTCTAGTGGATGCTGAGCTAGGTGTTTGAAATGGTGTTGCTTTTTTTTGGGGGGGGGGGGGGGTTTT